GACCCTCAGATTGTGAGTCGAACGCCTTATCCACCTGGCCATGCCGGGCCGCCGTAAAGAAAGAACATTGATTGCGATTTGGACTAAAAGCTACTATCCTTGTCAACATTATTTTTAGGCTTAGCCGCTTAAGCTATAAAACTATCAAAATTATAACATTTATGCTCTTCCAATTCAACCCACAGCCAGGAAAACTGTTCTGGATTACGTACCAACCGCACCAATTCCAACTGTTTGTATCGGAAAGTAACCGTGGCCTGTTATAAAGTGGACTTCCATTTGCTCTCTTCTGATTCACGGTTAGGTTCTATAGCAAGAAAGAATTACCCCCCCCCCCCATGTAACCCTTATTTCACGTTGCATTTTACCCCCTTTTTTCATACTCTCAAAACCGTCGCTCGTTCGGCGCAGCACCCCATTCTCTTTCGTCTTTTGCAATCATTAATATTTTTACTTTCTGGCTTTGGCCATATTCTTGCAGCGTTTGTTTTGGTTACGTCAATCCTTGGAGTCGTAAATGTCTCTGTAATATAATATACCGCGTGGGGTTTTAATACTTTTACATATAATTCTCTCTGAACCAAATTCTTTCTACCATAGCTCCGTGGAGCTTGTTGCTATAGAAATGGTTCTCTCTCATTTTTTATATAGCACTACAAAATAGTTTCCTACTCTTAACACTTTTCTTGTTACAGAAATTTCAGCTTGAGAGGCAATGAGAGGCAAACATTTGAAGCACCAGGTCAAGCAGAATAGGCAGAGAGATCAGAAACTGTAGAATGGACATGAAAGAATAGAAAGACTGACTAGTGTGGTTTGTAGAAAATAAGATAAGAGCAGTGGAACTCTAAAGAATCTTTGTAACATTGGGCAAAAGTGATAAAGACTGAGGTCGTGTTAACCACGTGGAATATCAGAAACACCATTTAATGACAGGTGGCATAAGGAAACATAATTATTTTGTAAAAGTTACCGATGTTTCACGAGCATTCGTATTCGTTCTTAACGGCAGGAGTTTAGTGGTGATGAAATCACATCTATTTCTAAATACATTTAAAGAATAAAATACGGTTATTTAAATTACTTTAAGAAAAATCAAAGCAAAAACTGGCCCAGTCGGTATTACGTTTTGTTCAGTTATTGTAGTAAACAAAATATAGATCCTAATAGTAGTTCAATATAGCTATGGATCGTAATAATACAGAAGTAAAACTACCAGAGGTACAGTACTTCAATATAGCTATGGATCGTAATAATACAGAAGTAAAACTACCAGAGGTACAGTACTTCAATATAGCTATGGATCGTAATAATACAGAAGTAAAACTACCAGAGGTACAGTACTTCAATATAGCTATGGATCGTAATAATACAGAAGTAAAACTACCAGAGGTACAGTACTTCAATATAGCTATGGATCGTAATAATACAGAAGTAAAACTACCAGAGGTACAGTACTTCAATATAGCTATGGATCGTAATAATACAGAAGTAAAACTCCCAGAGGTACAGTAGTTCAATACAGGACAGAAGCCCACTTCTTTTATTGCCTAATATAAATATTTATATAAATTATTGTTCTTGTTCCATAAAACTACAGACTAAAGTGCCTTTCTCTTCCTCACTTATGTTTGTTTTTGTTTTTTTAATTATGCACAAAGCTACACAAGGGCTATCTGTGCTCTGCCCACCACGGGTATCGAAACCCGGTTTCTAGCGTTGTAAGTCCGCAGACATACCGCTGTGCCACTGGGGGGCTCCTCACTTATGTAAATACATAAGTAATATTAGTAAAGCTTGTTGCTGAATTTTCGTCGCGATACTATCATTACCTGTAAAACTTCTGAAAATAGTAGTATTGAATAGTGAGGTGTACAATCGTTGTATATAAACCGGAAGAAGTTGTAAGCCTTTAACAAATATCTTTTGTAGTTATGCTGGTGACAGTCAAATAACTTAACTTGGCGAAGTAACAAATACTTTATCTCGGTTCTGTAGCTGACAGTCAGGTAACTCATACTTGTAGTTAGGCTGGTGACAGTCTAAATTTGGTTTAAGTTTCACGCAAAGCTACTCGGGAAATATCAGCGCTAGCCGTCCCTAATTTAGCAGTGACAAGCTAGAGAGAGAGAGAGAGAGCTGCCAGTCAACACCACCCACTGTCACTGTTGGGCTATTCTTTTAGCAACGAATAGTGGAATTGACCATCACAATATAACGTCCCCCACTGCTGAAAGGGCTAGCATGTTTGATGACGGGAATTCGAACACGCGACCCGTAGATTGCAAGACGAGCGCCCTAACCACCAGGCCTCTACATTAAATGTCTCCACGAGAAAGGAAAAACGCATTTGGAATACTTTATAAAATTGAACATATTCTTAGTATATCGACAACCAAAACACTACTAACGCATAGTGGTTTTCAGTTGTACGTTTCTCCGTATAGGTGTATTGTTAAACTATTTTAAATCAACTTTCACGCGGGAAGTGTTAACAAATGGCTGAAGGATTTTAATAATTCAATAAATAAATAGTTTGGTTTGTTTGTTGTTAAGCGCAAAGCTACATAATGGGCTGTTTGTGCTGTGCCCATCATGGGTATCGAAACACGGTGTTTAGGGTCGTAAGCTTAAAGCCGAACCACTGGGGGGCAGGGCGTATTAATCAGTACAGAAACATTTGGGAAAGTGAAAAAGAGTTAAAGTAATAAATATACTTCTAAAGAGAAACTGTATCCATTAGGCTTATTCTTGTGTGGGTTATAAAGTTTAAAACAAATCCCCATCAGTACTGCAATTAACCCCAATAATTACTGCTGGAGTTCCTGTTGTATTTTACACAGAAATATAAGTTATTGTACTCGATGTAAAGAGCTGACCAGCAACTCTAAGTGTTGTAACTGAAAACACGTAATGTCGTACACTGTGTGGACGCCACCGGTAACGAACTGAGTGTTGTAACTAAAAACATGTAATGTCGTACACTGTGTGGACCCCAACGGTAACGAACTGAGTGTTGTAACTAAAAACATGTAATGTCGTACACTGTGTGGACCCCACCGGTAACGAACTGAATGTTGTAACTAAAAACATGTAATGTCGTACATTGTGTGGACCCCACCGGTAACGAACGGAGTGTTGTAACTAAAAACATGTAATGTCGTATACTGTGTGGACCCCACCGGTAACGAACTGAGTGTTGTAACTAAAAACATGTAATGTCGTACACTGTGTGGACCCCACCGGTAACGAACTGAGTGTTGTAACTAAAAACATATAATGTCGTAAACTGTGTAAACACCACCGGTAACGAACTGAGTGTTGGAACTAAAAACATATAATGTCGTACAGTGTGGACCCCACCTGGTAACGAACTGAGTGTTGTAACTGAAAACATGTAATGTCTTACGTACTCTGTGTGGACCCCACCGGTAACGAACTGAGTGTTGTAACTAAAAACATGTAATGTCGTAAACTGTGTGGACCCCACCGGTAACGAACTGAGTGTTGTAACTAAAAACATATAATGTCGTAAACTGTGTAGACCCCACCGGTAACGAACTGAGTGTTGTAACAACGAAAAACAGAGAATGTCGTACACTGTGTGGACCCCACCGGTAACGAACTGAGTGTTGTAACAACGAAAAACAGAGAATGTCGTACACTGTGTGGACCCCACCGGTAACGAACTGAGTGTTGTAACAACGAAAAACAGAGAATGTCGTACACTGTGTGGACCCCACAGTGATTGAACTATATATTATAATTACATCTATGTTCAGGCGTACTATGCTTCATCGGGAAGTACACATAGAGCTTATAAACAGCTACAGAAACCTTGAACAGAAATGTGAAATACAGTTTACGTATACGTAGTGCGTAAAGTTTATATTACAGAGGTGTGAAATAGGCACACAGACCCACAAAAATTTGCTTAGAATTACGTGAGCGCTAACTGCGCTAGTCCGCCGCTAATTTTGGACTAATAGTCTAGACGGAGGAAGCTAATCAACAACACTCGCCGTTAACTCTTCGACTACTCTAATCAAATAGTAGGATTTGACTTTCAGTCTTACAACAAACCCGCGTTCCCAAAATACAGATCGTGTTCTTTGTGATAACGGGCACTCAAACCGTGGGCTCTCAGATTTGCAGTCCCGCACGCTAACCATTGGAAAACGTCTACAGTTTAAGAACTGCCTAAAGCTTGCGCTACAGATGCAGTTTATGAACTACGAAAATCTTGCATCGCTGGGACGCGCGTGCGGTTACTGTTCTCGCACTTTCATGGGAAGGTCCTCCCCAGCCAGATCTAACCATGCTGTCATGTCCAGTGGTGACACCTATCCAGTATTGTAATAACCTTTCTCATCGACTTTACATGCTCTGTGTTAGAGGTTATTACGTTTCTTATAGCGTTATTAAGTTGACCTCAAAACTGTTATCTGTATCTTCAGCCTAAAATACGTTACAGCTTCACGGTAAACCTTTAAATAGTTGCATCAGGACGTTCCAAATCAACGTCCATCTCTTACATAGAATACTTTCAGTAATACCAAGTGTAGACGCACAATACCCTGTGTGTGTATATATATATACTTGTATCTTAATCAGTAGGAAGCATATACTTTACACAGCAAAGTCGTAATACATGTTATGTATTTCTCTCACAGAGTTTATTGTGCCAATTATCAAACATGTTACGTAGGAAATATTCTCGTTATTCATTGGATAAAAACTCGTTCTGTATCATCTGTCACCATGAAGTAGGTAATATATTAAATTCAGCCTATAGATAGTACTTTAACTTAAGGAACAACGGGAAAATATGCATGCATGACGAAACTGTGTAATGTGGTATAATTTTAAATATTTACATGTATTTGTTACTTTACCATGCAGGTGAGGACACACGTTAAAGTCATGAAAACCTGCATTCTGTACCAAGCCACGAGACTGCTTTATTTATACATATGAACCCATCTCGCAATCAGGAACACAACTAATTTCGGGCAGTTCACTTTTCAACCAAAAGTTGTTTAACATGGTTACGTGACGTCTATTCTGCCTTACCTCCCAGAGAGAGGGAGAGAACATGAATTTTAACAGAGCCTATAATAAATATTAAGTTCTGATTCAAAGTAAGCTTCCTACATTGATCAGAACTAAATATCAGCACAATAAATGAGCATAACTAATTAAATATAGTGCTTAAGTTCTTACTGATACTGATTAGAATGCACTGTTGCACTAGTGAGTGGGTATCTTCGCTGTTAACGTTTTCGGTCGTAATCCCAATACTTTCAGCTTGGCAGACTTATGATAGGCGTAAATCCACGTGCTCTCTAACAATACAAAATACTCCTTTTAATAAAAATACCATAATGATAGTTTAAAAATAGATGTGAAAAATTCTAACCAGTGTATTTAGTAAACATTCGAACCCCTTCCCGACACTTCATCAAAAGGATGGTACGTTAGAAGGAACAGCTTCCAGTAACTGTTTATTTTTTGTTACATCGTTTAACCATAATGAACTATATTACTGTGTTCTTTCACTAACGGAGATCTTTATTCACAGATGGTAGAGTAAACTTATACAATAAACAGTAATTCATGATTTATTATTTGTGGGCGATTTATTCAAAAGAAAAACTTTACATTAGCTAAAATAGAATACATTTTATAACCAGAATAATAGCATTCGAAGTTTATTTTTGAGACACGGGTTATATATAATAAATATACAGATCTTATAACGTTATTCTTGTATTTGCAAATTGATAAAATCTGTGTGCATTTACATTATTTACCTAAGCTAGTGGTGTTTTTTTTCTTCTGTATTTCAAAGGAACATGTAAAATAAAGAGCTTGACGTGAGTAAATGGATAAACTCTTTATAGCGAACAGCACGCGGGGAGAAAAAGAAACACGTTAATGCTTTTCGTTCGATTTATAATTCAAGTTGTTGACATTGGTGACAACCAGTGGCACTGAAAGGACAGTAACCAGGCTTAATCGATCTCAACATGATTACTATTTTATAAACCGGTGTTGTTTAACAAACCACATTTGCTACAGTCTACCTTAAAGTTTTAGCTCCCCCCCCCCCCCAAAAAAAAAATCAGATAATTTTTTTCTATCTTTTTATTCTTCTAACTTTTTCTTGAATTAAAAATGACAAAATGATTAATACTTCGGTGTAGTTCCCAGGAAACAGTTTTTATTCACATCCAAACGGTAGAAGCATACAGTACGTATCCATAATAGTGAATTTCTGGTAATCCTGAAGAGAAATTCCTAGTAATATCTGGGATCAGTAATCTGATTCCACAATATTATCTAAATCTTTCCTCGTCGTCGTAAGATTGTTGACCAGGAACCACAAAATATAATTATTCTATCAGTATTGTTACCGTCTATTTCCTCGTCGTCGTAAGATTGTTGACCAGGAACTACAAATACAATTCTTCTATCAGTATTGTTACCGTCTCTTTCCTCGTCGTCGTAAGATTGTTGACCAGGAACTACAAAATACAATTCTTCTATCAGTATTGTTACCGTCTCTTTCCTCGTCGTCGTAACATTGTTGACCAGGAACCACAAAATACAATTCTTCTATCAGTATTGTTACCGTCTATTTCTTCCTTCTCGTAAGATTGTTGACCAGGAACTACAAAATATAATTCTTCTATCAGTATTGTTACCGTCTCTTTCTTCCTTCTCGTAAGATTGTTGACCAGGAACCACAAAATACAATTCTTCTATCAGTACTGTTACCGTCTCTTTCCTCGTCGTCGTAAGATTGTTGACCAGGAACTATAAAATATAATTCTTCTATCAGTATTGTTACCGTCTCTTTCCAATTTGTTTGATTGTTTTGCAACCTGTTGTTTATTTGTGCACAGACTTCTCGAATAAGATTTCTTTGATGTTTGTATAAGAATGTTTTGATTTGACGTATACGCTAGAGAACCTTAATACCCGCCAAAACTCAGGGATCGCCTCCCTTTAATCATGGAGTTTCTTCGTAGCACGTCTGTCAGTGCGTAGTAGAAGGTAGCGTGGCACCGTTCCTAATTCCGAACCACTGACCAAAGACAGACAATCGCTCGGCACTAACCGTGTTTTACTTTATTATTATTTTAATACTATTTCTTCTACTAATATTTTACATTTAAGGAGTTGGCACAGTCTCTCTTCCATCCAATAATGTCCTCAAGGTCAGCCTAGTAATAATGCCCAAATTTCTACTTTTTGAATAACAAGGAAAATTTACCACGCCAAAATCCCTGCCATTTTCTTAATTCACTTGCTATGCTGTATATTATTATATACACTAGCGTATAGCCCGTCAAAAATGAAAGGACAAGTACTACCACCCCCAACCCCATAGTATACCCTAACCTCACATTTCATAGCTAACTGAAGTAAATAAAAGCTTCACCAACAAAGAGGTAGAAAAGTGCAGTGGAGGCAATCAAATGTCTGTAAATTCCTTTGTGAGCCAATCAAAATTAAGATCGTTCACGAAAAGGATTTCGTGGCGGAATAATATATAGAAAAGTCAATGCATTTTGGTAATACTACGTTCCAACAATGGCTTTTATGTCATGTTGCTCAATAACAACAGTATAACCTAATATTGTTGTTAGTCTATGTACTGAAAGTATAAAATGAAATGTACAGACAATAAAACTGGAAAGTATTTGTTGATTTCTTAATTTAGTCTCCGGTGATTAATTTCACTCACTACACTTATAAGGTTTCACGGCACATACACACTCCCTCACGGCCCCCTTGCACCCCCGTCACTAAAATCGTAATGGCCAGACAGTAATCGAACTATATATCTATCTGGATAAATGCGTTTTGGCTTTTACGATTCTTCCAATTTTGATAAATCGAGCGTGACGTGACACACACACTGGCTTCTATATAAGTTAGATTAAATATTATATAAGTCACATATCAAGTATCAGTGGCACAGCGATAAGTCTACGGACTTATAACGCTAGAAACCGAGTTTCGATACCGTTAGTGGGTCAAATCAAGTTCAAATTTCAGTAGTGCTGTCGTTATTTGCAATCGCATACAGTAACCCTAAAAACTAACCCTAACACCAGCAAACAACAAACCTTTGAACTAATACAAGAAATCAGTTTTACTCTCAAAGTTTTCATAACATTTACATCTTCTCTTTGATTTATTATATTAAAAACGTTGTCGCTAAAACTGAAATAAGTTGTACATTTAGAGTATCTGCAAAACCTATCAGAATTTCACGAGTTTTAAATTTTCACTTCACTGATATTAGCCTAAGAATTTTTCTATTTTTTTGCATTTTCTTAGATGGCCACATATTACAGTGCAACGCAGTCAAATAACCGGAAGATTCGAACTAAAAGCATCATTATCAAAGAAGACACGGTCAATTTGGGTAACAGCTGACGTATTCTCTGTACAAGCGATCCGAAACAGCGCCCGATTATTTCGAGTGGACCGATAAGGTGGGTTTCAACAATGTGCATCTATCTGCTTTAGTGTGTCGTAAGCACCAGTTGTCAGAGCTTAGCCGTGTTTTAACAATTTAAGGGATTTGTATAAAAGAGTTAAGTTATATTCTAGTACCTTATATATCCCAAAATTCACAGCTAACATCACCTAGAGATAATTTGTTCTTTCAGGTTACGTGCATTTTACGTTTTTATAACTGAAACTGTGGTTTAAAAACTGACAATATCGAATTTGAGAAAGCAGACGCGAGTTAAATCCAAACTTTTGTTGTTTTTATTGTTAGAACTGTGTGTGCAAGACGAAGAGCTGAACAGTATATGTGATCTCCACTGGGAGTGTTTCTACCGTTCTGACAAGAAAGTTTCGGGAAATATCATGAAACATGACATAGCAGCTGTTGACCAGTCATTAATCCACCGTAACTGACAGCATAGCCAACCGCCACCGCGGTGTTTAACTAACTGTTCACAAACTGTTTCTTACTGAGAACTCATTGTTTTATATCTTTTAGCCCCTTGACTACGTGCAATTGAAAGAAATAAAATGTTGTTGTAGAATTTGAGTTTATTTTTCTTTCCAAATAATTACGGAGAATACAGAAAACAAATCACACAGTATTCATTATCAATAACTTCTGATCAAAGGATAAACCTACGTAGATCAGAACTAAAGAAGTAACCTAGTAATTAATATGGCCAGTTTAATATGGCGGTATATCTACGAGTGTGTATTATCATAGCACAAAAAGTTATTAGATTAGAATTCATCAGTTGAGTACCGTCGTTAATATAGCCAGTTTAATATGGCGGTATATCTACGAGTGTGTATTATCATAGCACAAAAAGTTATTAGTTTAGAATTCATCAGTTGAGTACCGTTGTTAATATAGCCAGTTTAATATGGCGGTATATCTACGAGTGTGTATTATCATAGCACAAAAAGTTATTAGATTAGAATTCATCAGTTGAGTACCGTCGTTGTCGGCGATATTTTTGGACTTAAACCCAATACTACACCACGAGTTCGACAGCTTAGGATATTTTTGGTTGGCCCTAAACTGACACACTAAATTAACAAAGCATAAATCATTCTGATGATAAAGTAAGGTTTAATAAAAATATATATTATTAAACAATATAGGCCGAAAGAAATTTAAATCCAAACGTCTCTACATCGTGTGAACGGGATTTTGTGAGTAAGGTTTTGTAGTTATCAGTTTTTTTGTGTTTGATTTGCGAAAATTAATCATGATTGTGGATTTGGCAATGTCATATTTCTCGTGTGCGTCCATATGTTCGTGAAATCTGTTAATGAAGATCTGACTTTAAGTTTACTTGTGGACAAGTGTTTGGTTTCTGAGTAAGTATGATTTGTGAGAGTTGCAGAATTACACGTCATCTACCACACAAGAAATAAAAGTTACAATAATGAGGAAATTTTTATATCCAGTAGCTATCGTTTATCAAATACTTAAAGGTAATATTTGGTTTTAGCAACAGGCAAGTAATAAACTCTTTTACACGCATGGAAAATGTCATTTTTGCTTGTTTGGCTTTCCCCACTCTTTTACACATGCACTTACATTATTGTTTCTAGGTGGCCTAGAGTTAGCTTGCCAGGCTGTGCATCCGAAAGTTCATGGTTCGCATCCAGATGTCACACAAATGCGCTCCGCACTTTGGGGCCATAGGTACATTTCAAAAGTGGCGGTCAAACCCCTCTATTTATTCAGATAAGAGTAGCCAATAAGTTAGCGGTGGGTGCTGTTGATTTGCTGCCTTCCTCCCGTACCCGCTCAAATCTAGGGTTCGATTCCCCGCGGTGGATAGCTTGTTGTTTAGCTTTACTCTAAAACAAAGAACCCCTTTCGTCTAGTCTATCAGTTCAAGTTAAGGAACAGATATAACCCTAATGCAGGTTTAAGCGAAAATCCGAAACAAATCTCTAACCAGTATCATCTTTACTACTCTACTGGAAGTTTTATATTTGCTATGCTAAGAGAAATGTAGAGAGAAAGAGCGTAAGGAAAATTTCATAATTTTAAAACTGGGAAATTTTGATTCTGTTGGAATAGATTGTGTGTCTCGACACGAGTCATTAAAATAAATGTTTTTTGTTGAAGACTCTAAAAAAAGGCATGATTTATCATATTTATTACTTATTTCACTTTATCTTTCACAAAGGTCCACTTACAGCCCACGAGTACATACGGTTGCGCACGTGCTTAATTAGAACTTGTCTCGATCTAAGACACCACATACAACGATTTTTGTTTTTCGTGGGTAAAAAACCTGGTACAGTTAGGGTTAAACCAAGACGGTTAAGTGTTCATTTTTCAAATGAAAAAGAAATATACATTTACGAATAGAAATAGACCTCTGAATATATACGCATGCGCAGAGTGCCATTAAGCCTTGTCTGTGTATAACTACAAATACACAAAAATATAAGTGTATTCCGTTAGCAAAAACTGGAGATTAAGTACAGGAGTTTACAAAAATTACCTTATCAATGTTGTACCCGAACCTCACCTCGGTGTGTAAGGATAAACCAACCTACACTGGATGCGTATATGATAGTACCGGGTCTAATTTAAGGTGTGCTTGCGTGTGGTAGGTAATAAATAAAAGTAGGTTGTTGGTGAGGCCAGGCCATGATATTCTGGAGGCAACATGTGGGCGCCACACTCTAATTCTGTGTAGAAGGCGTACCAGTTTAAACCCGTGCTTTTTTGTTTTTCATCATGAAGATACAGGGTGGAAACAACTTATCGTAATCAACTTATGGTAATTAACGATGTAGCGGTGTAAAAATTTGATCTAATCTCCGTGTGTTAATATTATAATGCTTGTACTAAAAGATTAAGATTGGTTGTAACTCGTACTTGCGTAACGCTCTTTCGTACACTCAAATATCATTGAGGGAGGGTGGGAGGACTTATCAAATACTGGCTGGACAAAATTAGAGCGAGAAATTAAACCAAGTTTGATTATATATCAGTGTATGGTACCACAAGGGAACAGAAAAATAAATCCGACGATTCCTAAAACAGAAAAATATCTATTAAGAGAAAGTTTTGGATAAATGAAATCTCCCTTTTCACATATCAAAAGAAATCCTTTTTTCAAGTCTCAGAAGTCGGGTTCAAAATCCCCCCCCCCCCTTCACGTCTCAGAACTATGGCTTAAATGGAAATGCAACGTTAAGTCTCACTTGGGACAAGACAGCTGTAGAATTTTTAAGTGACTATAAATCAAAAGACACTAACGGAACCAAGAGATCGTTAAAAACTAAAACATGGCGGCAATAAAACTCTGCTTTCTTCATTCTTTAAAGCCAAAATGTTGTTATTTAATAATCATGCTTATCCCGTTGAATTCTATTAAAAACGAAACGACATGACAGGAGTATCAATGGACTTATTCTGCTGTTGGTATACCAGACATTCGTCATTCATAAGTGACTTTTCTCTCGGTGTGTTAGCTGTAACTAGTGATGTATTATTGTATATGGTTATTTTTAATGCAACCAAAGTAGACGAGACTCAACCAGATTAATGTAGAGTTAGTTATCTGAAGCGCTACAGAAGCCATCAGAAAGGCCCATGTTTGTCATAAAAAAATAGTTTAATAAACGATTTAAGTGTAACAAACGTTATTAAATATTACTGTCTCTTTGCAGGTCCCTGGCATGGCCTGGTGGTTAGGGCCCTCGACTCGCAGTCTGAGGGCCGTGGGTTCGAATCCCCGTTCCACAAAACATGTTCGCCCTTTCAGCCGAGGGGGCGATATAATGTGACGTTCAATCCCACTATTCGTTGGTAAAAGAGTAGTCCAAGAGTTGAGGGTCGGTGGTGATGACTAGCTGCTTTTCCTCTAGTCTTTCACTGCTCAATTAGGGACGGCTAGCGCAGATAGCCATCGTGCAGCTTTGCGCGAAATTCAAAACAAACCAAACTACTACAGGTATCAGTGACTAGGACCTGCCGTTACACAATGTTTCAGTAGGTTCTAGACTGCTTCACGTACGTGACTATATTTGTAATTATACCAATAATATTTTATTTTATACAATCAATAATGGAGCAAATGTTCTTTAAACGTATGTCGTGATCCCTAACCTTGTGAAAGATTAACATTAATTGTGTAAAACGAAGCTTTTGGTTCAAACTTCGCTGAATATACGCTCTAGAGTTATGTCTATCCTTAAACCCCACCTACTTTGTTAAGCATAATATATATTTCATTTTAATACGAAGCTAGGAATAAAAAAACAACAACATAAATCACAGTTTTTGAGGTCAACTTGCATGATTTATAAACATCCCCTTAAGCAATGTAAGGATAACTCGTTTACTATATTATATATACGTGTTCTTAAAGTGGCGGGATGAGAAGACATACGAATTCATTATTTGTTTAGGTTTTATTGTCTGCTACTCGCGTCACTGACAACATGATCAGATTCACTTATGATCCACGTTTTCTCCACCAAGGAAGACGAAATTGTTTTGATTTCTCTTCTCTTTTTTTTTTCTACAGCGTTTCGTTTAAAAGTGGCCTAGTGGTTAACGTGTTCATACTATGATTCCGAAGATTTGGTGGCCCTTCGTCATAAAATCGTATTCTGCACTATGGGTTTAGGTGCACTATAAGGGTGACAGTCAAATCCGCTATTCAATCAGACAAGAGTAGCTCAAAAGTTCGCGGTGGATGCTGTTAGTTAGCTGCCTTCCCTCTATTTTATCAGTCCAGAATTAGGGACGGCTGTGTGTATACAGCCTGCGCGAGAGCTGAACTTCTACCGGGCGATTGTTTTAACTTCCACTTTTTACAACGTTGCATCTGAAACTTTTGGTCTAAATTACCTCAAGCCACATCATCTTATCTTTTTTTTTTTAGTTAGTATAAGCAACCGAACCAGAATAATCCTTTCAATGTTTAAACTACCATGCAACGTACTGTACGTCTTCACTTGGCGATAACAGATAAATAAAAAAAACAGTTAAAAAAAAAAGACTGTTTTCGTGAAAGTACTTCTTAGATTGCTGTAATGTATACCATTGAACGTCCTATTGAATTTATTACACAGAGCCGCAAGCTGTACTACATAGTCCGGGCGTGGTCTAATGTTTGCGTGCCGGGCTACGGATCGAAAAGTCTGTGGTCCGCATTTTCAACTGTGGGTACGATATAAAAATAACAGTCAATCCTCAACAAAGCTATTATGACGGTGGGTGATGTTGACTGGTTGCCTATCCCCTGGTGAGTAGCTCAAAACTAGGGACGGCTACACCTGAACCATAAGGGGTCTCGGACCTGGCCATTTAGTCCACCCACTTACACAGGGTTCTTCGGAGGAAATTGATCAGGAATTCCAAAATGCTTTGGCGAGAACCTTTAGAACCACACTACTATCATACTTAACTCTCTCTTTTTATCTAATACTATTATTTATATGGTTGACAAATACTCTCCTCCACCTACATTGTACACATTTTGCTCTTCTCAAAAGTGAAACGTTTTTTTTTTTCATGTTGCAGTTGAAGAACGCTGAA